TATAATTTTTTTCTTTGTCTTCAGACAGGGTATCACATAGCGTAGGCTGGTGTTGGACTATATAGTAAGGCTAGCCTTGAACTTCTGATCCTTTGCCTATAGCATTCCAGTGATGGTTTTACAGCATTGTATCACCTTGACTGGCTAAAGTTTTTAAAATTTATCAATGAAATTTTTTTTGTATGTGTATTTTGTCAGAAATGCCATACACAGGGCAGACAAAAACAAAGATGTATTGGTTGAGTTGCTGATAAAGCACCTGGAAGTTCCCATAGTCATTTTTCGCCTACATTGCCTTTCACTTTATATGAAACATCTTTTATTTGTGGGGGAGGGGGCTCACAACTCTGTAGAACCTAGTTTGAGAATGACCCATAGAGTTGAAACATTTAGCTCAGGTTAAGCTTGTGGCCAGAAAGCAACAGTGAGCATCTAACTATGATGAGAAATGGAGGCAGACACCTTGATCATTCACTAATTCCATGGTAAGGGATCCATATACTTTCTTACCACATGGGCCCATTTATAAGTTTGTTCTTTGAGACAGAGAACATCTATGGAAAAGCTTACTACAGAAATAGAAACAAGAAATAACACTGCCAAGATTGAACAATATGATTTTTCTGTCATTTCACCTAAATGTTAGAATGATACATGGTTACTTTGACTTAGTCTCTTCTTCCAACCTCAACTCAGTTGTGGGGAATGAGGAATTACACTTTGAGAACATGTCATCTGGACAGAGAAGCACAATATTAAAAGTTAGGTAGTCGTATCAGAGATTTCAAAGTTCACAAATTCATGGATCAACCACGCACCAGGAATGCTTTAGAAGTCATTTAAAGAAAATGACTAAGGATAACATAATGCCAAATTCAAAAGGTATTTTGAAAACTATTGTCCATAAAATTAATATAGAAATTCATTCCTCTTCTTCCTAGAAAGGAAAAGACCATTCAGCTATGAAGTGAGAAAATTTAGGGCAGAGGGTCTTACTAATTAAAGATATGGCGTGAGACTTTAAGGAGAAGATAATGGCTAAACATCTCTTTTCCTCTGAAATCTCCTGTGTGTAGAAGAGTAGGGTAGAAGGTCAAGAGATTACTGCGTTGACACACTGGTGATTGCTGAAGATCAGAGTTATGGACAGCAAAACTTTTCAGAAAAACAAATGTAAATTTGAACTAATGCAAAAATGAATGCCAAAATAAGTATAGAACCACATAGATTTAAAAAGCAGATTGCAGTATCTTATAGAATAAAGTTGAGTATACCGTGGGAATAACAGAGAAACAGAACATGGTGAGTCTCAGAAATAGAGGGTTGGGCTGGGGCGCTGAAATGTGCTGCTTGGCATGGCATATGTGTAGGTCAGGGCCTAAAAGAAGGCATGAACATGCAATTTTTTTGTTGTTGTACCTTTGTAGGGATGAACGCTTGCTCTACAGATGTAGCCTAGGAAGCAGATTCACGAGCGGGAATGGCCAATAGCACAGGAGCGTTATAAACAACAATAAACACACAGTGATACATTAGTTGTCCAAATTCATTATGTATTTACCTACTCAGCCACTGCACACTTGTAATTTATATTTGCATCAGTTAACACATTAAAGATAATGTCAGAGGACACAAAAATACATAGACGCTGCATTAAGTAATGAAAACAAAGCAGTTCCTCTTGGATTCATTTGACTAAGATTAAGCACAAATTTGAATCCTCCACTTCTCTCACTGTATCTTCCGTCTGGAATCTGTGGTTGCTGGCTTATCTGTATTTTGTTTGATATGTATGCCTGTGCCTAATGTCTAACTGTCCCTATCAAAGAATTTTTCTTCATATTTATTGAACAGCACAGAAAACACTCCATGGGAACAGAATGAGGGACACTTTATAGAAATCTTTAACAGAATTTTATGAGGGGAAGTCTTCTTACTGACCCAGATTAGTTGCAAAGAGAATTTATCAAGCTATACTCACATTGTTTTCAACACTTATGGTGGGTATTTGTTGCATAAGGTTGCTTCTGACCAGTTGGCTCCTTTCAGCAAATAATTACCACAACTCGAACATACATTATTCTGAGTTAGAGGCATGGAAGACTAAATGATTCAAGATTAAAAATATAACATTAACGTAGGATGTAAAGATGATATTATGGAAAATCTAAGACATAGTAGGTTGGTTACACTGTTCTCTGAAGGTAGGTTAAACTTGAAACAGGCTGAGTACACAGTAGGACAGCAGGTAAAATGTATAGCTTTAATTAGTCTCAAATGAACTCAAAATGTATTATTAACCTTGCTGTGAGGTCTGGGAGACATTCAGTATTTGTGAAATGTAAAATATTTTCATAAAATTATATCTATATCTATATCTATATCTATATATATATATATATATACACAATGAAGCTTAGTAAGTTAGGGTATTAAAATAGAGTTGCCTAAATTCAAATATTAGGAAGAAGTAAAAAATATCCAATTGTAAATGAGACAGAGATTTATTTCCTATTAACTGAACCAATAATCAAGAATAGTTAATGTACCAGACACTGCTCTGCCCAAAGGGTTGTAGCATGCTGGAGACAGGTACTAGAACACTTACTTCTATAGTTGTTTCTTTTTCTTCTTTTTTTTTTTTACCCTAACTCCATGTTGGAACACCAGATTGTTGTTGGTTGTTTTCCTCTTTTTACTCTTGGTCTTTGTTTTTTCTGGGGGCCCACCATCCAGCTCCCCAAATAATCACACATGGAGGCTTATTCTTTCTTATAAATGCCTGGCCTTAGCTTGTCTTGTTTCTAGCCAGCTTTTCTTGACTTAAATTAGCCAGTCCATCTTTTGCCTCTGGGATTTTACCTTTCTCTACTTCTGTATAACTTTTCTTTCTTGCTTGCTCCATTGCTGGTTATGTAGCTGCGTGGCTAGCCCCTTCTTTTCTTGCTTCTTGATCTTCCCCTCCTATATTTCTCCTTATATTTGTTTTCTCTGCCTGCCAGCCCCACCTATCCTTTCTCCTGCCTCACTATTGGCCATTCAGCTCTTTATTAGGCAATCAGGTGTTTTAGGCAGGCACACTAAAACAGCTTCACAGAGTTAAACAAATGCAACATAAAAGAATGCAACACATCTTTGCATCATTAAACAAATGTTCCACAGCATAAACAAATGTAACACATCTTAAAAATAATACTTTCCAACATAACTCCAGGAAGGGCAGAATGAATACCCTTTATAAAGGATCTTTCAAGTGAATTCTTTTCTACACACTTGAAGAAAGTACAAAGAACAAGGGCACTGACATCATAAGGGATACAATAGATGATAGTTTGAGACTATGCTGCTCCCACTCACCTGAAATGATACCAGCACCAATGAGGAATAATAAACAGAATGGAGACAAGAAACTGGCTTTCTACAGGTCAGAAGTGACTTTTAGTGATTGCACACACTGGGCATTAACTCTGGCAGATCATCTTTAGGGATTATCATAGGTTCTTCTGGAAGAGTCCCAACAGGAAACGGTAGGCAGTGCAGCACTGACTCCCCTGACTGAGGAAGAAACTGTGGCCACACAAGAGTTCCCATGTAAAAATTCACCAACCTGTGCCATTCTAACACATGCATTTTGTTTGAGCATTTGACTCAAGATATACTAGAAACAATGAAATTTAGAGGCATTGTTGACAAAGGAATCAAATTCTTGGCAGAGAGAACAAAACAACTGAAAGTGTTATTCAACTTCTATGCTCATATATGTGCTGAAAGATAAAGAATATGGGAAGAGGAAAAGGGAGGGGGAGAGAGAAATTCTATTCTTTGTTCATTTCTAGAGCATAATGCACAAAACTGATAGTAATATAGCTTACCAAATACAAAGTGATAGGCATAGGAGTTGCAGGAAATAGAATGACTGTGACAAATGGAAGGTGTCATGCCACATTTCTTCCATGATAAACTACTGGTCAAAACTAATACAAACTTTCAGGTAATGACAGCCTGTATCTCATAGAGAGCTAAGAGAAAATACAAGGATACTTTGCATCTGGGATTGTTGTGGAAAATATCCTAGACATCTGATTACAAAGAATAATGAAACTTACTTATTAATTCAATTATTCAAGAAATGCCCAAGTCTCTGATGCAAAGACATCAGCAGAGAAGAAATGGTACTAGAGAGTATAACTGAAGGCAAAGGGAATGATGAACCATGACATGAGAATTAAAGCTGTGTAAACAATTGGGTGTAGAAGAATTTCTAAACAGTCTTATTAAATAAGAAACACAGAGACAAATATAGGGGTGAAAGCCTTAGAGATTATGAAAATAGTAAGAGACACCTGCTAGCCTTAACTCACCATGCTGCCATAGCTTCCCAAGAGAGAGCTTCTTCCTGTCTAACTTGTGCCTTTATTGCCTTGCTGTTCTACCTTTTCATTGGCTTTTAGGCCAAGTACCTCACTTCCTTGTCACTGCCAGTCTGTACAGACCTCCAGGTCTTTATGGTTGGTACTGGGATTAAAGGCATGTGTCACCACTCTTGGCTGTTCCCTAGTGTCCTTGAATACACAGAGACTCTGCTTGCCATGTGATCCGATTAAGGGTGTGCACTACTACTGTCTGACTTTTGTTTATGGCTGGCTACGTCCTCTGATCTCCAGGCAAACTTTATTTATTAACATACAAATAAAATATCACCACGATGGGGAAGGAACAATATAGATACAGATGATTAGCAAAGATGTAAGAGAGACTGGCCAGAGGAATAAACTCATTGTGAAAAAAAATAATCAAACTAAGATGATGTTTTGAAGGTCCTGCAACTGGAACAGAATTTTAAACTCAGTGTTCCCCATTTTGGGGGGTTTGATGGAGTTTACTCCACAAATCTACATAGAACAAGTACACTGCTAGCCAAAGAGTGGTCTCTTTGTTCCTGGTCCCTCACCACTCAATAGTAAATATACTTATCAAATACCAGCATCTTTTTTCCTTAGCTGATGGTTCCTTTGGCTCCTGGAGTCTGTTCTTCCTACAAGTTCTCATAGCAGGCTGAGAGGACCAAGGAATCAACTGTCTTCCACCTAGAACAACCCTCAATCAATGGCTGACAAGCTGCATAAATCTAATGTCCATACCCAGAGATGTAAGTACCTCTGTCTGTTTACCCCAGTGGGGACAATTCAGAGATCTATGATACCCTGACTCCCAGAACCTTCAGTGGGAATTTGATTGAAAACCCATGCCTTGGACCACTGTTATCCCCCTTCCTTGTCTTCTTTTCAGTCTCTTTCTTGGAGTTGATTTCCCAAATAATTTTGTGTGCCCATCCCTTTTGATTTTAGATTAACTCAACCAACACAAAGCCATGCTATCAATGGTTCAGCTTTAAGCATATCACCTGCAATTGAATAACAAAAAAGGCTAAAAAGGTTGGAGGGAAGCTCACAGTGAAGATGTATTGGAGAAACACTTTCAAAAAACACCTCCACACTGCATAGGAGAGGTCAGGGGACAGTGAAGTGAAGAAGCATTGGTACTCCACTTGGAAAACATGGCACTTCATTGTGGTACTTAAATTGAAACAGGATTAGTAAACCAGAATCATGGAAATGGAGGCCTGATATGGAGAAAGAAGAGGACTTTAAAGGATCTGGGCCAAGAGGGTATTCGACAGTAGATACCAGACATGCATTGTTACTCACCACCTTATACATTTAGGCTGGATTATTTGTTGAACTCACAGCTCACCATTTCAGGTAGTTTGAGGGGATCAGCCATCTTTGCTTCATGTGTTCTGGAGATCTGAGAACACTCTAGTGTGGCAAACACTTTATCATTGAGTCATCTTCTGAGCCTAAGAGGTGAACTTCTGGAGATTAATTTCAGCTATAATCTTGATTGGATTGAGGAGTGCCTAGGCTATTGTTAGAGCACACCTCTAGATATGTCTATGATGGCATTTCCATCACAGAAAGAATTAACTCAGTAGGGGAGAATAAAGAGGTAGTAGGAGAAAATCAGCCAGCTCATCATTGCCCTTTCCATTTCATGGTCAACATGATGTGAGCTGCTGTGTATAACATGCCCTCTATCATGATGAACTGAAATCATGAACCAAAATAAGCTTTTCCTTGCTATTTTTTTTTCTCTCAGAAATTTTGGTCACAACTACAGAAAGATAACACAGGAGCTGCATTATGAGTGTATCAAATGCCTTTGATAATTAAAACTTCCTCTCAGCTAGATTGTCAAAACAATTCATTTTACTTTTTATTTAAAACTGTTGCCTGGAGCAGAAACAATTTGCTAATAATCTAAAATTAAAAAAATTCTTAAACTAGAAAAATCAAACCTTTCAGGTTATGCTATAATAAATGTAGATTTTTTTTTTAATATTAAAAGAAACAAGAGAGCTGCCATACATGGCCTACCAAGCACACATGTGGATGATGCCGCATTTGCTCAGCCTGGGAGGAGGGGACTGGACCTGCTTGGACTGAATCTACCAGGGTGAGCTGAATCCCCAGGGGAGTCCTTGCCCTGGAGGAGATGGAAATGGGGGGTGGGATGGGAGGGAGTGCGGGAGAATCCGGGGCTGATATGTAAAATTAAATGAAATTATAAAATTAAAAAAAAAAGTTATTTTAAAAAAAAGAATGTAGCCGGGCGGTGGTGGCGCACGCCTTTAATCCCAGCACTCGGGAGGCAGAGCCAGG